TTAAAGTTAGCCCCTGGAAAAGGATTAATGTTCTCAAAAAATAGAGATCTTGAAGTTGTGGGATATACAGATGCTGATTGGGCTGGATCCATTACTGACAGACGCTCTACTTCAGGCTACTTCACCTTCGTGGGAGGTAATCTAGTCACTTGGCGGAGTAAAAAACAAAATGTGGTTTCTCGGTCTAGTGCAGAAGCAGAGTATCGAGGAATGGCTCATGGAGTTTGTGAATTGCTATGGATCAGAAGACTCTTGACAGAACTGGGTTTCAAGCCAGAAAAGCCAATAGAGTTGCATTGTGACAACAAGTCAGCGATTGATATTGCCCATAATCCAGTTCAACATGATCGAACCAAACATGTTGAGGTGGATAGACATTTTATCAAAGAAAAAATTGAGAAGAAGATCATCCGCCTACCATTCGTAAAATCAGAAGATCAATTAGCTGATATCTTAACCAAAGCTGTTTGTAGCAGAGTGTTTTATGACTCACTTACCAAGTTGGGCATTGGTGACGTATATGCACCAATTTGAGGAGGAGTGTTGACGTGAGTCTCCTAATTAATCAAGGAGAATTATTTCCTTGATTAATTAAGGGATTTACTTTCCCATTCCATTTAGTTGACAAATGTGTATAATTAGGAGATACTTTCCTAATCCCTGATAGTATCTTATTCCTTGTAAAGCACTTTGTAAACCCATATATACACCTTCTTATGGAGAAGAATAAAGTATCTGAACATATTGAAAACCCGTATTCATATTTTAGCATCAAGTTTCATATGAAAAAAGATTGTATAGAAAACTCCAAAAGACTCGAGCGTTAGTGTGATTTTGGTAAGTGAAAAAGAATCTATATATTTCTTTCTTTCTTTCTTTCTAAGTTCATCTAAGCATTCAGTTGAGGCTTACAAACTAGGTTAACTACATGAAAGTATAAAGATGGTAGTCATAATAATATTTTTTTAATTTTTTGTTCATTTGCAAAAATGATGTGTTTTTTTTTCAACGAGCAGCCAACGTCCGTCAATTTCTCATGATTGTAATTTTTTTTGTTTTTCGGTTCAAATGGCAGGAAAATGATGAGATATGTGGACCTTGACGATGCTCATTTATGGGTCTTTTCAAGAAAACGTTCATGTCGATTGCTACCTCGAGGTTGTTATAAAATGTTCACATGAGCCATATTGAGTTTCATCTTAAAGAAGATTGTATGGAACGGAGTGTAATTGCGAAATTCTATAGTAAGGGTGCAATCTAATATAAAATATTTATTCTCACTCCACTCTCTTTTACTATTGACCCAAATTCAAAACACATAACATACATGCATTTAAATATAATAAATATCTATATAATTCTTAGAAACTATAGATTTTAAGGGGATCTTAAACTGTTCTAAAAATTAATGTATAGAACCTGCTGGCACCATGTTTCAATATCTCGGGGATCCGAAAATTACATGAGTAATTCTTCATGGACATGAACAAGGTGCGATAGATCGCCCTTTTGATTTCAACCATCAAAATGGAAAGCTAGCATTGATATCAGACCCAGTAATGCTATCTCAAAGTACTTACAGCATCAGTCACTTCAAAATTTACTTCACTATGAACATGGCATGGTATCAAAATATTATCAATTCCTTGTTCTCGAGCTTTTTCGTTGAAGCTAAAGCCCAGACGCGGAAACTTTCTAAAGGCGTTCCGTGTTCTGCTATACCACCATAACAACTTCTGGATCGGGGAGACTAGTTAGTGTAACAAGAAATGAATTCAAAAAGAGGACTACGTAATGGTACTACAGTTCACATTTTGAAACGCATCCTTCTCAAACAGTGGAAGCTGATCAACGATGCAGTAGCAGCTTGAACTACATTACAATGAAGAGTTGGATTCAAAATGCCAGATCTTCGTATGTGCTTCAAGTCTATTAGATCCAATCCTGCGTGCTTGCAATTCTATTCCAGCATTGCCTTAAAACCAACGGCATCAACTGGAGACTCAAATAGCTTCACTGAAGTCTTCAACTCATACCACAAATCAGCTCACATGCTGCTTTGATCTCTAAATAGTCAGAAGAAAAAAAAATCAACTAAACCAAAAATGCAAGGATAACTAAACCAAGAGAGCTTGAAAATGTCCAGTTCTTGCAAACATATACAATAAGCAGTTGCCAATAATTTTCTGATAATTTATTATTCCTCCTTAGGAACTATTAGTTGCTATGCTATCTAAAGTATTTCCTGACTAATCACCAGGCAATTGCATAATTGAATAGGAACTATACAATGTAAACCAGAAGAATATTCTTTTTGTTGGACATGATGAAACAGATCTGCTAACAGAAAACACCAATCTGAAAACATTAAAGAGAATGAGAAGAATCTGAGAGAATTGAAGAAAAAGATTTTGTTTTCTATTTCTGTTTCTTGCTAAATCAATGAATTATGGCCTACACGATTCTTATGTATTGTTACATTGTAATCTTCTCGACTAAGCAATCTAACTAACTCAACAAATCACGACATGACACTTGTCATCTTATAATAGGTACAAGTGCCTTTATATCCTATCATCCCCCCTCAACTTCATGCACAGGAGGACCAAGCATGAGGTTGGAACAGTGATAATCAAATTGAGTAGAGCAGAGGCCTTTAGTAAGCACATCAGCAACTTGCTGGGCAGAAGAAACATACTGAAGAAGGAAGTCACCGCGAGTGACTCTCTCACGAACAAAGTGACAGTCGATTTCAATGTGCTTGGCACGAGAATGAAGCACAGGATTGGAAGACAGAGCCATGGCAGATATATTATCACAGCATAAAACTGGTTTCTTAACAAGAGGACAATGCAGATCAGTAAGAAGCTGCTGAAGCCATACAATTTCAGCTGCAGTCACAGCCATTGTGCGATATTCAGCTTCAGTAGAAGAATGTGAAACAGATTGTTGCTTCTTGGAAGACCAGGAGATGGGGTTTGTGCCAAGAAAAATAACAAAACCAGTGGTAGACCGATGATCATTTGGATCCCCAGCCCAGTCAGCATCAGTGAAAGCAGTCATGTCTAAAGAACCTTTTTTCTACAGCAAACCATGAGACATAGTACCCTTTAGATAACGAAGAATACGTTTAACAGCATAGTAATGAGTGTCAAAAGAAGCATGCATAAACTGACAAACTTGATGCACGGCATAGGTAATGTCAGGCCGAGAAAAGGTGAGGTATTGAAGTGCACCAACAATACTGCAATAGTGAGCAGGATCTGAGTAAGGAAGACTACCGTCCTTGAGCAGTTTATGATTGGGATGACATGGGGTAACACAAGGTTTGCAGTCCAAGAGATTGGCCTTAGCAAGCACATCAAGAATATATTTGGACTGATGAACAAAGATGCCATCTGCTGGATATTGAATCTGAAGGCCAAGAAAATAATGGAGATCCCCAAGATTTTTCATATCAAAGTCCTGTGAAAGTTGATTAATAATCAATTGAACAACAGCGAAATCAGATCCGGTGATGATAATATCATTGACATATAACAAAAGAAAGACTAGAGAGTCAGACTTTTTGCAGACAAATAAAGAGGGATCAGCATATGAAGCTGTGAAGCCTAAAGTAAGAAGAAACTTAGTGAATCGGTCATTCCAGGCTCGAGGGGCCTGTTTGAGGCCATAGAGCGATTTAACCAACTTGCAGACATGATGGGGATGGGAAGAATCAATAAAGCCAGGAGGTTGGGACATGTAAACCTCCTCGTGAAGAATACTGTGAAGAAAAGCATTCTTCACCTCTAGTTGTTGCAGTTTCCAACCAAAGGTAGCAGAAAGAGCAAGCATTATTCGAACTGTAGAAGGTTTTACAGAACTTCACTTCAAAAACTGTTAAACATAGAGGCAACCCAAAATTGGAAACGTAATTTCCACATTACTATCATCAAGCTAGATGAAAGAATTTTAGACACAAAGGATCTAGAAACTTATACGTTGTCAAGCCAAGGTTCTCTATTATCAACCTTTTCAAGAAAACACTGTGTAACGTTTATTTGCATCGTCTAAATAAAACACCAAATTCTGTACTAAAATAATAATTGAAATAATAGAACAAGAAGGCCATCAATCTAGACGGAAAACAGAGTTTCACCATCAGGAACAAAAGCGATTCCCCATATCAGTCTTGTATGACAACATTGTAACTTAAATGTTCTCAGTTGCAAAGAGTTTTTCATTGTCATTTGTCCATTTTAAAACTATTGTGGTTCCACTATTCTCCCAAACTAGGGAGTCTGGACCATGGTATATGTCCTGTTGATAAGAGAACAAACTTCCTCTCAACTTCGTTATCAATTAAAGAAAAGAGCCCAGCATTCTTTCTGTAGTCAGTACCCACAGTTTTTTGTAAAAGAAAAACTTTACCTTTCAACCTTTCTTCACTGAACCCATGTTTGCCTAGTGCTTTCTCTTGCTACTTCTCATGAAGCAGATGTCTTCCAAAATGTGCTTTTCTGATTTTATCTTGGAATTTGAAGTACCCAAGACCCAAAGTACCTCATCACCCTCAGCAGGTTGGACATAAATGCTTGGGACATCATAAAAAGGACTACTCATTTATCATTTCTTTTTTCTTCCCAAACACCATAATAATGGTGACCATAGTGCAAAAGACCACTCATATATTCATAGTCCATTGCATACCGCTGCTAAGTGGTCATTTAAACTATTCAAAACAACGTAAAGTTCTTTCCTTTGCTCATGCCTTGTGTCATGGGCTAGGAACTCATGGATCTTGTTCCCCATTTGGATTGAGCTACAACCAGGAACCTTTTCTATTCCCTGCTGTCTCATGACTTGCCTATAGGTCAACACATCTTTCCATTGTCCCATTGATGCACTCAAATTTGAAATAAGAGTTAAATAGCTGGGATTTGCAGGCTCCTGCTCCATAATCCGTCTGGTTAGAGATTCCAACAGATCTCCATTTCCATGAATCTTACAGGAACCTAGTAGACTGGCCCAGATGACAGCATTTGGCTCCAAATGCATGTTTTCTAAGAACATGACTGCTTCTTCCAACTTCCCGGCCCGACCTAGAAGGTCAACCATGCAACCATAGTGCTCTATTCGGGGTTTGATGCCAAACTCTTGTTCCATCTGATAAAAAACTCTTTTACCCTCTTCCACGAACCCTCCATGAGTGCAGGCTGACAGAACAGCAATAAAAATGACATCATCTGGTTTAGTTCCTTCTGAACACATTGTATCAAAGAGAGCTATGGCTTCTCTGCACAACCCATTAACAGCTAGACCTGACACTATCGTTGTCCATGTAATTATACACCTTTCAGTCATCTTTTTAAAAACTGCTTTTGCATTTTCTACATGTCCACACTTTGCAAACATGTCTATTAGCGCATTCCCTAGGGGAACACACAAGTCAAACTTGTTTCTCTCAATATAGGACTCAATCCATTTTCCATGTTCTAGAGACCCCAAGTGAGTGCATGCGGATAGTAAGCTAATCAAAGTACTCTGATCAGGCCTGCACTTGCCGTCTATTAACATCTTGCGAAACACACAAAGAGCTTGATCAAACATGTGGTTATGAACATAACCGGAAATCATGGCATTCCATGATACAACATTTTTGAAAGGCATCTGATTGAATATGTTCCATGCAGATTCAAGATCTCCAATCATGCTGTATCCTGAGACCATGGCCGTCCAAGAAACTACTGTTTTCTTGGGCATCTGCACAAATAAACACTGCGCAGACTTGACATCACCCAACCGTATATATGCAGTTATTAATGAATTCCACGAAACTTCATTTCTTTCTGGGATCCTCTCAAAAACTGAACGAGCTAATTCCATATTTCCAGCCTTGGAAAGACCAGAAACAACACAATTCCATGTCACAGTGCTCCTATCTGGCATTGAATAAAACAATCTCATCGCAGGTTCTATCTCACCGTGGGCCATGTAAGCAGCAATCATCGAATTCCATGAAACCACATCTCTTTCGGGCATTTCACCAAACACCTGGAAAGCCAAATCCAAACCACCTCCGCATTTAGCATAGAAATCCAAAAGGGTATTCTGAACAAAGACACTAGAACCAAAACCCATTTTGACAATGTCACCGTGAACCATTGTCCCATCTTCAAGGGCCTCGAAAGATTCACAGCACCTAAGAAGAAAAGTGAAAGTGAAACTGTTGGGCCCAATCCTAAGCGCCTTCATTCGATCGTACACGCGCAATGCATCTATACGAGCCTTTCCTACAGAGAATTTTATCAATGTGTTGTAAGCGACAACATTGGGGCAACAAGAATTTCGAAAAACAGAATAAGCATAATGAAGAAAACCCAGTTCTGAGGAGAGAGTGAGGAGCTTGGGAAGCAAAAAGCTGCTATCTTGCAGCCCGTGGACGAATCTGAAGGTGGGTCTTCTTCAGTTCTTTGAGAGACCTGCACTCTTGCAAGATTTTAAGCAATTTGTGATGCATTGCGATTGTTCTTCATTCGAAAGACAGTTATTCTCGTTACACGAACGGGAAAGTATAGTAAGGCATTTTATTTGGTTTGGTAAATATCACTCTTTTTCTATTTCTTTTTTTTTTTTTTTCTTTTTTCTGTTTTTTTTTTGGTCCTCAGTGTGTAACATTATTTTTTCTTTGTAGGGTTTGAAGATTAAGTAATCTAATGTTACTTCAAAATATTGTGTTTTTAAAAAGGTGAGTGAGTCTTTGCTAAGAAGAGAATGAGATTACAATATCATTGATGTAGTTCAAGAAAGTAATATAAACTCACAGGTTTTCATTGAAAACAATCTGGTATTGCAGCAGTACATATTTCCTCTCATTCTTGCAAGTGCAGAGAACACACATTATATCTTGCAAGGACAGTTCTTTTCTTTATTAATATTGTTTACAAGTGACACGCATAAAGCATCATACAATAATCACCTAAATTTTACAATTAGAGAGGAAATATCATCTGTGTGGTCATAGCCCGGCATCTTGAGTGTCATTTGAGTAAGGTGTTTTGCTGCTGTTTTTATTTTTATTTTTTGAGAGAAAGGTGTTTTGCTGCTTCTTGAGCGTTCTTTATGTGTCTGATGGAGTCCACCACTTTTTTATTAGAGCAGTTTCAGTCATGAGCCTAGCCCAAGGCTGGGGGGAGAAAACCAGAAAAAGGAGTTTCCAGCAGTGAGCCCAAGCCTGGGCAAGGTGCGGGTCCCACCAACTCGGGCTGGCCCGAAGGCCATTCCAGCCTGAGGTCCAAAACGAGGGCTGCTGACATCAGCGATGACGTCAGCAACAATTTTTTTATTAAAAAAATCGAAAAAAATCGAAATTTTTTTTAAAAAAATACTTAGTCATATTTTTCGCTTCCCACACCAAAAATCTTATCCGAAAATATTATCCAAATTAATTATTGAGGTAAACAAATTTGTGAAAAACACAAAAAAATGAATAGTAGTTGCCCTTAGCCATGGCAACGGGTGGAAACACAAAATATACTATTTGCAAGGTCAACCACTATTCACGTGAAATAGTGGCTGCCCTAGCCCCCCCCCTTGCCATGGCAAGGGGCAAATGGGTGGAGTTGCTCTTAGACATCACCTTTCATACGGGGATAATTGGAAATTGGGCCAAGTAAAAGCCAATTGGGCTTCAAATTTGATTTGGGCATTAAATAATATATAGATAATATATAATATTTAATTATAAAAAAGATGGGCCTTGAGCCTTGGGGCGCTTGGGCACTTCAAATTTAAATTGTAGAAGATGGATTATTCATCTTAAGCTGGAATTGGTGGAGTTGGTAGAGGGAGGAATTGTGGTTGTTGTCGTTGTTGTGGTGAGGTAAACATGTCGTTTAGGAGAGAGCGAAGACAGAAGAGAATAAGGGGCGGGAGAGGAAAAGAGGCTTAGTATACATACATACATATATATACACAAGTCTGTAGAGAACATTCTACAGTTACATCAAGCCATTATCATAAGCATAAATATCAAGTTATGGCCTAATAACAACGTAACTGACAACTAACCATTTCCCATCATTAGGAGGATTAACTATTGTAACTGAAATACTATTGTAACTCCCTAATATACTCCCCCGCCAATCGAGCGTGCACAACATAGCAAGTTTGAATGAAGAAACTACATGGTGATGGAGATGGCAGCATAAGTCGGATGTAGTAGTCCAGTAAGGGGAACCAAAAAAGAAGAACTTGTTAATGTATGAATTTTGATTAATTCTTTTGGCTTCCCTTGACAATTTTGTAATAGGATTTTTATTGTATTTGTCAAGCTCAAAGTTTAGATTAAGAATAGCATCTCAAGGTGTTCTTAACTATCATCTATCCTATGGAGGTTCAAGCAAATTGACAAAGGTAAATCATGCATTGCATATCATGCATTAAACAGTCATCCTTGCTCTGTAGGATTTCCAGCTGGTTAACCAACTGTTTTGTCCTATTCTCTTTTCTCTCTCTGCTGCCATGTGTCATTCTGACCTAAGGGATTCTTTTGTCTGTAAAGGCTAGTGAATTCCTCTTTTGGCAGCCGTCTCTTTTGGGTGGAAGTTTTGGAAAGATTGGTTTGCCATCTTTCTCTTCTTCTTCCTCAAGAGAGAACCGTACGTATACTTCATCTATGAGTTTTTCCAATTGATTTCATTTTGAAAAACTGCATTTGAAACACGAATTTGCATCTAGCTACTTAAATCATTCTCTCATTTATATCTAGGTCAGATTCAAGATTGATTTCTTCAAGAGTATGGTTTCTTGAAGAAATTGGTCATTCTCCTTTGAATCCAAATTTTGGTTTCAGTCTAAGTTGGAACTTGCAAGCTAGTGCCATGGGATGAACGAGCTGGAGAAGGAGCTGCCATTGCCATGAAGAATTGAGCTTCAAGGAGGTATAGCTCATCTTCCTAAATAGATCTAGGTGTTTCTTGAGCTTGGTTGTGTTTCCTTTGTAAGAATCTTTTTCTACTTAGTGGATTGCCTGGTCGGTTGATGACTCCCAGTTTTTCCTAATGGTGGGTTTCTGGGTAAACAAATTTTGTTTTGCATATCTGTAAATTTTTCTGGGTTTGTGTTCTTGGTGGTTGGCTAATCATCTTTATCTGATGTTTGCTGTTTACTTGATAATGATGATTTCACACACTTTCACCATAGTTGTTGCTAGCACAGGGGATGCCTAGATTGATGGGTCCTTCTGAGTGCCTAGGTTGTCACTAGTAATCTTCTAGGGTTGCAGGTACTTTGTGGCATGCTTTGTGTGTAATCTTGATTGTGGTTGTTCATGACTAGCAATTGACTAGTCATATGTGTATATGGTCAAGATCTAAATTGTGTGTAGATTGTTGTGTTGTTGTGTCTTGTTTGTGTCGTTAAA